ATATACCTATCTACTTGATTGAGACATTTTAAGGATTTAAACCAAAAGCTAAAAATGCCACAAAACARTATAAATAAAATAATAATAATAATTTTACAAATGAATCTACTTAAYGATAAATTTAACAAACTTAATTAATTTACCAACTTATTATAAGCTTAAATTATTTTTAGTGACAGACCCACACTATGCAATCGTTCAAAGATGCCAGCACAAGAATAAAGGCATGTTTCGATCATATCATTTTATTTGTAGTGAAAGGTGTGTATATATATATAAGAATACTAAAAACATGACTATACTATATATAGGTACATGTTATTTTTTTTTGCCCAACTGGAAGCATCGAGGACGGGATCCCTTCTATATGTGAGAAGGACAACATCTGGCGTCATACGGCTATCGCCTCTCACAGGGGATATAGGATGAAAAGCCTCTAAATATGAAATGTACGACTAAAATAATTACGCACACACGAAAAAAGTACCCCTACTAAGCAACTGTTGCTTGCACATGTTGGGGGGAAATAAACAATGAATTTGGTTACACAGATCGCACCGGGAGAAGTTTCAAAATAAACTTGTTGCCCCTATATATTAAAGACAAACACGACTTCTAAAAGTAAAACTGCCTATGGGGTTAGCAACTTAAGTATACATGTATAGGAAAAATGTTATTCTTATACATTTTATAAAAATATACTTCTAATTTTTAAAACAAAAGTATTAACTTTTCAATATATTGTTTTTAAATAGAGCTGTATAAAAATAATATTTAAAGTATGTTAACTTGAAAAATATGATTATATTAAATTGTACTAAATCTATTAGATATAAATATATAATATCATAATTGAATAGAAACACTGTATGTGTAAGACAAGTTATAGTGAAGTTTTGTCTTATACGTTTTGTTACTTTATTGTTGGTATAGTGACATCATGTGCATAATGTGTGTATTGAGTATTTATATATATAAATATTCCGACAGTGATATTTTTCCAAATTAAGAAAAACAAAATATGTTGCMTCAGACAAACGCTGCGAAACTCTAGCACATAGTATTAATTAAATAMATTTTATTGATTTCAACGAAATTACAAATTTACTATTATACTTATTATTATAGTTGAAATTACATATTACATTCTATGTATATTTTCGTTTTGACTTGCATATGCCATATATTAATGTCCAATATTCTATATACCAATTTGGTTCTTATTCTAAAATCAGACAAAACCAGTTGAACTACGTTTGTTCAGGGCCTAGACCATATATATTTATACTTGCTATTTTTTTTTTGTCATTAGTTTTTTTCTTTAAATTACAMCTAATTATATATTAATTTTAATATATCTTATCTAGTTTAAATTCAACTTTGGTGAGAACATTTTTAAGACCCTAATTAATTATATAATAATATAGAAAGTGGTTAGCAAAATAATTTATTATACATCAGTATAAAATCAAATAATCTAATAATAATCATATCAAGGCTAAAAATTMAAAATTCAGATTTTTTACTACAAATAATAATACATAATTTATCGGAAACATTAAAAATAACCTAATTATATTTAAGAATTGATCAATAGACTAATGGCGAATAACGATACAATTTCTCGATATTTATTGACCTTCTAAAACTGACTAATTGATTAAATGATATTATATTATTTTCACTTAAAGTCAAAATGTTGTATTTAGGTACACTCGTACACTATCAAAAATATAAGGTCAGCTATAAAAGACCGATTAATCATCGAATCATTTAATTAAGAAAATATTAGAATTTAAGTTATATGTACTAGGTATATCTACAAATTCTAAAAATCAGAGTAGTTGTATAGGGTCATTTATAAAAATATTATATTTATAGGAGTCTATATGTGGCTACGATCAAAGTTAAAAAACTTAAATCGAATACCTACTTAAAATTATAGTAAAAAGCGATGTCTGATAACAATCGGGCTGTACATTCGTCATGAAACTCGTATACAAACTCATATCTCCAAACTAAGAAAAAACAATAAGAAAAAAGAGGAAAAGACGTATTTAAAAAATAAAAATAAAGCGGAATGTTATTCACGTTACTACAATGTCATTCGTTAACGGATATAACAATGTGAAATTATTATTATTATAAGACGTGGACCGGAAACTACAACTACGTTATTATAATATTATATTGAGGACAGCGCCCGACGCACTTGTGAAGAGAAAAACGAATTTCCATGTATATGCGAGTTTTAATCGTCGAAAGAAACATGATAAATTATTAGGAAACCCATAAAACAAAACAGTTAACGATGACAACCGAAAATCGAACCACTCGAGCCCATCTCATCGTCGAAGTCATCGACCATCGATTACGTGTAGCCGTGTAGGTACCTAAATAGTACACCATAATAACAACGTTATATCAATACGACGACGTTTGATTTTTTGATTTCGTGACACGTTCCCCGTTCCGACACGTTGTATTGATATATTAATAAAATCRTAACAAACTAAAAACCCAGAACGGGTCTAGAGTGACTATTAGGGTGGAAAGCTCTTTAAATAGGCACTGCAACACAATTATTTAACTAGTACGTTTTGAAACATTATATATTTATATGTATTAAATTCATCAGCTTATTGTTAATAATTATCATCTATGGACATGATGATAAACTTATACAAATATTATATGTATTATGTAATAAACAAAAAAAAAACAAAATTAATATATAAAAATATCGCCATAATATTTTAAATCTGTTTTTTATGTTGTAAAAAAAGTCTCGAATTACATTTTTTTTTAAATTCGTATAACCTATATTATAATACTAGCTGAACTGATGAACCCGTGCACTTCATAGCCCGTTAAAAATACTACCTCTAATATGTTTCAAACTGTGTGTTAAACTTGTTACCTGTGGGCAGTGATTATGCTAGCAGTATATATTTTTATACATATAGATAGATAACTGTTAAAACATACTGAGTAATAATCTTAAACGATATTCAATTTAGTTTATCATTATGTAATTGTATTCGTTTTATTGAGAAAAGTCTGAAAGTTCAAGTATTCAGTTGAATGATATTTATTAAAATGCATTTGGATACACAACATTTTTGTTCTTCTTTCTGGTACGTACTCAAATAAATAGGRAGATTTTCCGACGCGTGAGCATGCAACATACAGCCATATGTCAATATCAATGTGAGAAGCATGGAATTWTCAAATTCAGTCCACACACACTTGTAACGATTGTCCTTGTACTTTGTCACACCGGAAAATGCAAAYGTTTGTATTCGAAAGGCATATCTGTTGGAATCAATAGGATGCGTGGCAACAGTACATCATTGACTTTAAACTTTCAGTTTAAAACTATAACTTAGATAATGKTGTTCGTCAACTTTTTCACCTAGAGCCTGATAGCGTTGCACAGTCGTAGTGGATTGATGTTTCGTAGAAGAATGATGGACACGCCAAAAAAATTTCAATGTTAGAACGTGCGGTGGCATACTTGGCAAATCAATTGAATTTAAGAATTCAGCTGGATATTTGACAACTCCGTGTTGATTCATTACGGTATCGATGGACTGGTACGTAGCCGTTTCACCTGGAATATCGTTTAGAATGGTGATATTGATTTATTTCATCATAGTTTTCGGCTGACAATATAGACCGTGCACTGACTCTGAGCCACTGACGATTTCTGCATTTTTGTGGTAGATTTGGGAAAACTACTTTGTCATTGGTCGTTGTTGCTGTTATTTATACAGACATTTTCTGTCAATGTGATGAAAAAACACAAAACATGAATAAAAACTTGTAATTCCATAAACGCACGTGCCGTGGAAGCAAATAATAACAAATTCAGGGATGATAATTTATTTCGTACCTACTAATAGCAATCATTTATAAATAAACAAAAATTTTCATCGTAAACCTCAAATGTYTGTTTGAGCAGCTCCCGGTGYCGGGCCTATCACTTTTTAACTATAAGCCCATCTTCTGCACATARGTTTCGTCGCAATTAGTCCAGTCGTTTAGGAATGCATAAATGACAGACAACAGATGGACAGAAATCCATTTTTATATATATAGAAGATTTAATTATAAAGATGAAATGTTTATTTAAAAGAAAATGTAGAGTTATGTATGTAAGTGTGTTGTATGCTCCTCGGGGAGGAGATGCACTAGATCCGCCACCGGTAACGACATAATAATAATTTTATAGCAATAACATAATGGACGCGTACACTGGCACGCGTGCGGCCTAAAGGGTTGAGTAGGAATATTGTAATAATATGTATACACGATCTGTCGATAATACACATTATCATATTATATATTGTATTTTTGTATTTTTAATATATTGTGTCGCGATTTAAGAACCGGACGGTGCAGACGGACGGCAGATGCGCCGCGCCGGCGATTTGCGGAACAAGCGCGCGCGCCGAGAAAACAACTGGCCCGCGGCCGTCAGCAGGCTACGTTCGACGGTAATTATACGAATAAAAATCCGATTGCAGCAGCCGCCCGACCTGCAGAGTCGCAAAGCATCGGGGGCGACAGCTGCTGCCGTTGCCGTTCGTCGCCTACTCGCCTGGCCGTATAAGGTTTATGTGGTGCTCACCTATTATTATTATTATCATTACTATTATACAAGTATAATAATAATAATAATAATATATTACTTCTATTACCGTCGAGTCGGCATCTGTGGCGGAGTAGGGCCCGCGGGGGTATGGGCACGCGTATCGGCGGTCCCGGTCGCGTGCCTGGTGTTTCCCGCATCTGCCTCCGCCACTGAACACCGCCGGCCGGGTGGTGTCACCTGGCGCGTACACACGTATTTTATTTTAGGCGTACATAACATTATAGCATGCACCGACCCCGACACACACACACACTCGCACAAGCCGACACACACACACACACCGATAACAGAACACGCGCAGTCAGCTGTTCCTTTGTACACAGACATTTATATTTTCATATACATATTATTATTATATATACGGACCGGAGGAAACCCCCGCGAGGTCCTGTACAGATTCTCACGATTGCGTAACAATAGGGGAAGAGGACCGAAGACTGTTGTACGGCGGTACACGCCGTTATACATCGCGTGGACRACGCGACTCTCGGATCCCCCGGACCATATGATCGACAAAGAAACTGCGTATCGCGCAACAGCTGATCGACGACAGTTTTTGTGAGTATTCTTCCACATTATAATATAATATGTGTGTTTGGTGTTATGGCGAAAAATAATGCGTTCCCAGCCCRAAAAGTCTTTTCTCCGCGTGAGATCCAATACGCCCCGGGTCGCACAAAAACACATATTTTATACGTCCGCGACAGTATGTGCAGTGCGAAAAATGCTAATCAGATACGAGATGYGGTTTTTGGGGAACAAACGTTCGGTTTTTGTGTTCAAAACCGCAGGTTTTTTTYCRAGAAAACAACATAATGCTGCTGCATGATGTGCATGGTCCAATCATGCCACGGATCTTTAGTAAAAAATAGGTATACTACGCATATAATACAACCGAGTCCGACGATTTCGGATTTCACGAGCACGCCAATTTCTAATCATAGTAGTCTCGATTTTTGTCGTACGGGGTAGCAGAAACGTCCGTGTCATTTGCAACCAGTGTATGATGATATATTATATTGTATCRATAAACCGCGCGCTATTATATTTATATACGTAGAGCGATTTACGGTACGCRAAAAGGGTCTTGAAAGGATTACAATGAAACCATCGGATCGCATCGATATTCGTATAAGAATAGGGTTGTTGCCCCGATTACAAACGGGTGTTGTAGTAAAGGGTTGCAGCAGACGGATCAATATATGTATAATGTAGTGCACCCGGAGTTGAAGCAGACCACCACATTTGGCGCCAAATATTGATTTGACGGAAAAAAGGTGTTTTATTGAAATGATTTCTTTTATATAAGATGAAAAGGATCACGACGATCGACGACGGTAATGTCTACACAGTTAACCCTTATAAAAGATTATTGATAAACGCATTGAAAATCATGATTCAGAATTTGAATTAAATCATACATATCACTATATTTAACATGATATGTGACATACATAATTATACAAATGGATAAYTACAAATTTTAATTGCATTATAAAAACGAAGGCAGCTGTACCTACTAAAAAAAAAAAATAAATGTCAAATCGAAACAAATCATTAAAATATTTCCAACTGCGCTACATTTATAAGACCGGTGAAAAACATGTATAGGTAATCAATAGCTGCTGCAGAGAACTGCGGCACAAGCCAATGTCGAGCATTCGGTTTTTTCCTCACATGACACGGGTGTTATTCTGGCACAGCTGCTAGCAATACATTACACGCCGAGAAACTACAGCCTAAATATAAACCCACGCCGAGCACATAAATTCGTACCTCAAGTCACAACAGCTATACCTATTGCTGAGTAATATTATAATATTACAGTCGTTGCAACATAGTACAGTCTATAGTCTGGTGAATGATAGACGATATTATATTAAAATATAACAGCGACGACGACGTTGATAATTACCTATTTATTGTTTCAAATGGCCAAATCGGAGGTTAATCGATAAAATATRGAATCATGGGATAATTATAATTTACAGCATACTCCGCAGGTATTATGCAAGCAACTATCATCTGAATTTAATGAATTTAGGACCTACAATTTTTATCTAACCTGTGAACTTTAAAAATTATCACAAATAAATGAATAATAATAACAATCTTAATCAATGAAAAGGAATTTGTTTTCTTGAGAAAAGAATAGTATTATAGTAATAATTATTATTTATTAATTAGATTCGACGAACCACGAAAAATAAAATATTATGATCTGCATTAATTCTGCGTAATTTAGTATGAATATTTCATACAATTAAATAATATTATTAAAGACAATTATGTCGATTTTTGTTTGTATAGGCAATAATAAYTTATACCATATAWTTATAGATAAAAATGTGATTAGCTATTTAACATTCTCTTTAATAATAATCGATCTAAGATAATACGTATTGTACATAATATATAATATATATACGTTATACATGTACTCATAATAATATAATAATTTTTAGTGATGTGTATTTTTAAAGAGGACGAATTATTTATATTAAAACATTCACATAACTCTATGGGCAGCAGTAATAAAGCATAAATATTATAAATTTACCTATATCAACATATCTATTTAAATGTTTTCTATAACCAACTCGATCCTCAAGTCATAATATAAAATGTATATACAAACAGTTTTCTAATTCAATACTTAAATTGTACATATCATTGTTTCCAAATCAAAATGTTTAATTTCAGTAAAATAAATTAACGCCTAGAATCTATATTGTACAACAAGTATAATAATAAATATATAATCTTAAACATGGATCTTGAATACATTCATCCTATATCAGTAAATAAATACCATTATTTTATGTTATTATTATATGCCGGTACTTTTATGTTTCTTGCTAGTTGCTCAAGTCAATTATTAAAGTCTGGATAAACCTGCACATATAATTCGTGCCCAAGTATCGAGGTTGTTACATCGAAAGCGTGACTGAGAACACCAAAAACCGGAATATTCGTCTATGAAAAAAATGTATTTTCTTATTTAATCAACAACGAAAGACCATGACGGAGRCGGTGTAGGAATACTTGTTATATAACGTATTAATTAAAAGCAATTTTTTGAAATGATTCTCGGATTGAACAATTGGCCAAAAGACTCAATTGTCTTTTATCATTATGTGTTAAGTATTCTTATAGTTTTAAAAGAACATTGTTCTTMTGGGCGGTGATCGTAGACCATACATACCGGAACTTACCTGTCGAAATGTAAAGCATTCAACCTCCCCTCACCCTCAAACTAAACGAAAGAAATAGGGGAATATTTTTTTTTTTTTGGTCTAAATCCTGTTCCGGTTGACGGGTCCCTTCGCATTTATACGGGCTTCGGGCATTACGATAAATAGAACAGCTGCAACGTGCACGCGGCCCCCTTGGTTTTTATTGCTCTAAACAGGATATTTTGTTTTTTCTTTTACACTGCGTATGAGGATAAGATAAAAGCAAAATGTGCACGCCTGCTGAAAACATAATCTGGTATAATATAAAAGCCAAAAAAAAATGCAACAAAATACGTAGGTATACGAAACACCACTGATTGGCTACAGTGCAGGTTTCCATTTAAATTTAAATTTAAAGTACACGTACGTGAGGTTGAATTTATTCTAATTGAAAAAATGTATAACACAAAAAAAACGCTGTTTATATTTTTATTATTCAACAATTTTTGCATAAAATAGAATAATCTATGAAATAAGTTTTAAAAATAAACATTATGGGAATAAATTACTTTAAATTGTTCACACCTTTTTTTTTTTTT